GTAGAATGACGCATGAGTTTTGTCAAACATATTCCAGAGCAATGTGGGAAGAACATTATGCTAATATGTGTAAAGACTGCTTTGAAAATAAGTAAATTATACTTTCGTGCTTATTTGAAGTTCGAGAGTCATGAAATTGTCTGCCGATAGTATACTTTTATTCTAATTAGCTGTTAAAATAGATTTTAAACATGCTCACGCACACTTCATCTAGGAGAACAATAATAATAAAGTATTATTATTGTTATGATATATATAATTATAATGAATTATAATGAAGTTTTTAAGTTTTTAGAAAATCATGAGGCTCTAAAAGTATATGGATGTTTTAGTGTGTTAATTACTACACGAAAACACTTTCCATTGTTGTAAATAAAGAATTAAAAAATTATTCATGCATAGTATAGTAAAAATTCCATCCATCTTATGTTGGTACGGAAAAAGAGCCTATAAAAAAATATCATTCCTTCTATGCCCCACACTTACCTGCATAAATGTTGTTTTGGGGAAGAGCGCGTTTGCAAGTGACTGATTTGGGGAAAAGTCGAATCATGATATCAAACATAAATTCTCGTATATTTATCTCATAGAATAGCCGTCTTTTTTTTTAATATAACGTAATGTTTTTTAATTAGCATAAAAAATAGATATAAGTGGAAAAACAACAAAAAGTACAGAGTTTTATAGTTATATTTTTTATTTTTTTTATTAGAATCTCATATCTGTTATAAAAATTTCCCCATTCCCAAACAGTGTGTTAGGGCCCCTACGACAATCACTCACAGAAATGAAATATAAATTGATTAAAATGGGGCCCCTATACTCGTGCTACTCCCAGGCAAGTGCCCAGTGGGCCTCTGCATTAAGACGGCTCTGCATATTCTGTTTGAAGGATTATCAAATCCTACTGCGGTTGATTAGTTCGTTACATCCGAGCAAAAACGCGATGCCAATCCACACAGGATCCCAACAAGATCATTCATTTATCTTTCAAATTTATAACGAGCATTGTTTAGCAGCCTAAAATGAAGTGAGCAATTTAAAAATAATATCCAGTTCCCATCAATATTTTGTAATAAATTCTGTTTATATTTTTACCACCATTATGAATAAAAAGAAATATCTTATTTTCAGTAGAGTAGCTAGAGGGGGGTGAACTGCCCCGGGCGAGACATTTTTTGGGGCGGCATTTTTCATGTGAAGTAATTTTGCAGTCATTTGTCAATAAATATCTGTAGACAGGAATGCGTCAAAAGAATGAGCCAAAATTTTGGAAAGCCTGTAACTCAAAGAGGGAAAATTTTACTGGAGAATATATTTCGGTGACTGCCAAAATTTTTCATTCAATAAGAGTAGTCGACAAGGTTAATCTAAAAGAATTTTGATAAAAAGAAAACAGGTGTTGATAAGCAGGAATCTTTAAGCCAGGTAGGGGTGCTATAAGTCAGAGAGTTCAGTCAACCCAAAATAAAAACAAATTCTCTCAGACTCCATTAAATACTGTGTAAGATTCGTATTTAAGTGTTTTAATCTGTAGCTAAAGTTAAGGAATCTTAAGAACTGATAAGCGAATAATCGCTTGAGTTCGTGACACAGAGAACAAAATGTAAGAAAGGTGAAATTACCTTTATTAAGTTTTAACAAATGACTCCTTTCTTGGAGTTACAATAAAGCCTCCACTCGGGCTCGAACTTGGGATACTAAGAATTAAACTAATCTTAACTAAAAAGATATAGCCGAAACTATCAAGGTTCTAACAGAGTTGGCCCCTTAACGCTAATTAACGGCGAAGCTATCAAGGGCCTAAAGTACGGCCCAGCGTAGTAATAGCTTAAGAGAGAGAGAGAGTAGCCTGAAAAGTCGAACGCGTGCTAGTCAGAATCACTGGCTCTCTAACGAAGTCACTAGAACTTCACAGCTAAATACTTCTCCTCATTTACATTCAAACGAGATTCTAAAAATACGTTCTGGCTGGAAGTTGTAAGCTTGAAATTAAGAAGAGATAGGAAAGTAACTTTAACTCAAAATTTAACTGTTAGACAAATTAACATAATCTTAGACTATTTACTAGACACAGGGGCGCGAGGTAGTTTTTAGGCGGTAATTTGTTTTTTAAAAATACCAGAAAATACCAGTTGTTTGACGCTACAGGAACAAAGTGATAACAGCGCAAGGAAAAACAATAACGGTGAGTGACTATCAATGTGCAAGTTAAGAATAAGCAATATTAGGTAGTTTTTTCCGTTGTTAGAAATTGCAGGCAAGCGAGATTTGGGACTTTGATTTCTTGAAAACTTTTGGTTCACGAACTGATTTTCAGGAAGACTCGGTGCAGTTGGATATGAACAGATTGAAGGGGGGAAGCAAAGCCACCAGATTTTAACGTGAACGATTTGTCGAAAAAAGGAAAAAAATAAAACCTGGCGCAGTTGGTAAGAAATTTTCCAAATTTATTTCATGACACCCTCAGGGTTAACGCGCATGTGGCAAGTCCTCAATCGAAACAGAGGGAAAAAAACACGTAGAGCTAAACTCCAGAGCTAAAGTTAAGAGATCATAGAATAATGAATAATGAAAGATCATAGAATCTGTTGAAAAATAAAACAGTAAATCCCTACAAGTATTCCCTACGTTATACTGCGTAGAAAAAAGAATAATCTACCTCCCACCGATTTTAATGCCTGGCGTTTTGCCATCGACTGCAGAAAATTAAACAGTATAGCAAAATATTCGGTGTATCCCTTACCAATAATTGAAAAGATTATTAGAAAAATTAAATCTTAAGAAAAGGACCATGCTAGATCTTACGTCTGCGTATTTTCAGCTACGTGTGAAACCTAAAGTGCCAAAAGCCGCATTTATTAGCAAATCCGGAGTTTATGCGTTCCTTAGGATACCAGTTGGCCTATGTGGGTTTCCCGCTACATTTCAAAATACTATGAAAATAGCCATAAGGCTCGGACTTGCCAAATCAACATTCATAATACCTAGACGAAATAATTGTGATGAATAAAATAATAAATGAATTAATGATTGACGGTGTTTCTTCTTTTTATTAAAGGGCCTAATGATGTCAATAATAGATTCTCTAAATAACAGTAGATTTCTCGTGATACCATACTTTCATTTTTTCCCTTTCGGATCATAAGTAGTTGTAATTTCTAGGCATTTATGCTGATCGCCATTTAGATCACTAGTCGTCTGTATGGAGCTATTCTCGCAAGTAGGATAGGGTGATAGCGAAAGTTACCTAAGTAAAACAACAGTTTCGCTATCTGCCACTCAGAATCATTTATCCACATTTCTAGAACTCGTACTTTTCCGAAGCATCACTGCAAGAGGCATGCAAAAACTAGGCTTCATTGTTGGTTATCCGTTGCATCTAATACCCTCTTATGGGCATCGACAGCAAAGCTTACTGTAGTCTCACAGCATCCACCACGTATACATTATTCACTTTCTTTTGTCTAATTAACTGTGGCTAACAGCTTCTTACAATCTTTCTTTCCATTTTTATTTTAACGTTACAATAGTAGGGGTGACAGCTCTCCCAATTCAGAAGGAACACTCTTGATTTTCTATCGTAATTCTCCCAACCACATTTACAGCATATTTTTCTCGACTTTCTATTATTCCAAAAATTCTCACGGTTTTTATGCAATTTGCCTCAATATATCGTTATTATAGATACTCCAAAACCTGATTTCTGGCATTTGAAATCGCTTGATTTTGCTTTAGATTGCTCTCGAAAGAAAAATCAAGGCAATATTATGGGTCGCTACCACTATGTGTGTGAGAGCAGAAGTGTCTGAGAAACAGAGCTGAAATAATCATTAGGTAAAGTAAGCTAGTGCTTAGGAATCAAGGAAAGGAGGCACCACAAAAATTTTCCAATGCCGTTTTACAATGGAATGTATAGTGCAACTAAACTAAGAATGAGAGAGAAAGAATGAGGAAAAAACTGGCACGAAAGTTTATGGGCATCATAATCTTTTAGTACTTACGGTCTTTTATCTGGCCTGCTAAATCTTAATCCGGCCTTGCTGAAAATGTGACATTCCAGTTTTCCAATAAGCATCAACTACTGCTATGACTCCTGTAACAGTAGTTGATGCTAAAGGATACAAAATGAAACACAAGCAAAATTGATTCTGTTCATCTGCGTTTCTCTCATTGTTTTGTTTTGAGGAATGGTTTAAGAATTTAATGAGCTTCTGTTTTAGTTATGTTTGTGAGAATAAAAACATAGATATATTTTCGAAACTGGAACGTAGGTGACTTTCCTTGTATTGTTTCGTCAATGCGATGCTTATATGATGCACGTCGTTTGCTTTTATGACGTATGTCATTTATCATAGCAATGCATCGTTCTGCGTTGTGCAGTATAAAAGCCTAACAGGCTGCTTCTGCGGCAAAAACTTTAGCACGACCCCTGAGTACCAATGTAAGTATTCAAGAAAAAAGATGCTGTTTGCACCTCAGTAGTAAGCCGGGTACTCGGTAGGCGGAAGTGATGTCACAGAAAAGGGGCGTGGTCACCGCCATCTTGAATCACGTGACAACCGGAAATGACGTAGATGGAAAGGAATGACATCATCCAAGTTTCGTTTTGATTCTGTGGCAACGATTTTATGTCTCAAAGTTTTTATTTTTTGTGGCATCGAATATATATTTTTAGGTTTTATGGCAACGAACTCTTGAACCACGTGTTTGGAATGACATCATCCATTTCTTGTTGGGGCATGTTGTTTTACAAAATGGCGTCTGCCGTATCACACCTTTGTATGCCTCCGCTCAGGTGTATGGATACTTTTCTGTGAACCAATCAGATTCTTTGAAATATGACCTCACCGTCTCTTAACCAATCACCGTTGAGATGAAATAAAGAGTTCCTACCCGATATAAGGTTATCCCGAGCAACGTTCCGCATTTCTTTCCTGCCTGTCGCCCTGAGTGTACGTACCTGCTTTTGCTTCGACAATCTTTCTTCACTGCTTCGAATGGATCAGGCACGAAACAACAAAGAAGTAAGTAACGTTTTGAAAAGTTACTGTTTTTAGATTTTTAATCTTTAAAAAAGAGTTGAATTTGCAATATGTGCTTAATTTGTCTTTACTTTTTTTCAGATGGAAAACCTATTTGAGAAAGAACCTATGCCTTTGAACGATAAAGTGTTGAGCCATGAAGACCGCACCCAAGATGTTCCCAGAGAATCAGCTAGCTCTTGTATCAAAAGAAAAGCAGAAGAAACATCCCATTTCGAGAAAAAAGTACGTATTTGCGAAAAGTCTTATATATTAAAGTTGATATTGTATGTGACCCCATTTTTATGTATTATATACTAACTGATTTAATTTTTTTTTCAGCGCAAAGGACTCTTCACCGAAGACGCTATTCCAGAGGAGCTCACTCACATGGGAGACAATGTCTTTGTGGGACCCAGCATTTACAAGGGAAAAGTGACTGTGCACATCCGAGAGTATGCCAAATATGGTAAAGCTTACTATCCGACAAGACGAGGAGTGAACTTTGAGCCGTGGTGTTTGAATGTTCTCGCAACCAACATGACAGTGGAGGAACCAGACCTGCTGACACTGAATCTGGAAGTTGCCCAAGAACTTTGTGGTCACGTATAAAGATTCCCACTTCACTCTGAAACAACTTTCTGCTCAAGGAGATGAAAAAAGTAGCCTCAGCATTACAACGACGCAGTGGGAAGAACTGATGACCAACTTTAGCCGTATCAGCGACATTGTCACCAACCTCGTTTATCAAAACATGAACTTTTGTGAAGCCTACGAAAGCGTATCCGACGAACCTGTTCAGAGAGGAAAATCTACCCCAATCCTTTGACATTTCTATGGGAAGAGCGCGACTTCAAACCATTCTAAAGATGTCGCTTGAAGAAGCTTCTTAATACCAACAAGACGAACTGAAATATCCCCAGCTGAAAGACTGTGAAGAACTCGTTCATAAAACAGAAACTGTGAATGCCATTGCTCTGAGATTCAATGCTGTTGACATCGCCAGGACAATTTTATGGAAAACATTTGGGGTGAAGAATCCTATTTAATGTTACTGAAACCTGCTCACTACATTACCAAGGACTTTTTAAAATCTGTGTGTTTAAACCATGTACTCGATGAAGTAAGAAACACATTTTGTACTACCAATGGTGTCTTAGGTATTGAATACTATGAATATTTGTAAAATAATTAGGATGCTCAATAAATGTTATTTTATTTTACAACGATCTCATGACTGTCTCCAGGTTCAGACCTTATTTAAAAGAATTAATCTGTAATGATTACTTACATAAATTTTAAAAATATGTATTGAATACAAACCTATTGATTTTTATAGAGTATAAATATGTTGTTATTCTTAAACATATATCATTACTTGTTCAACCTTTGAGATGTTAAGTAGCATTCATTTTCTCTCTTGTTTTTTTAGACCTATTTTCTAAAATCTTTATATAGGCAACGTGAAACTCTAGGGTATTTTTTTCTGTTCTAGTTAAACATATATAAATGAATATCAGTGTACGTTTAGATCATAACAACTGTTGCAATGAACGCAGCTCTGTCTCAGACCTATCGGGATCCACAGGTCCCCGCAAGTTTCGGGGGTGTTGCTGCTTTGCATCGTGCTTTAAAAGGTCGCGTAAAAACAAAAGACATCCAGAAATGGTTGCAAACCAAGGATTCTTATACTTTGCACAAGCCTTTGAGGCACAAGTTTCCCAGGAACAGAGTCATCGTAGGAGGCTTAAACGAGCAATTTCAATCTGATTTAGTGGATATGCAATCCCTGGCCTCTTTTAATGATGGATATAAATATTTGCTGACCTGTATAGACATCCTCCTTTCGAAATACGCTTGGGCTATCCCTCTCAAAGATAAAACATCTGTGTCCATCCAATCCGCTTTCGAAAAGATATTTTCGGAACGTACACACCCGAATCATTACAAACAGATGCAGGGAAAGAGTTTACCAATAAACAAGTTCAAAATTTTTTGAAAAAGAGAAACGTTCGCTTTTTCACGACACATAATACAACCAAAGCTTCTGTCGTAGAACGATTTAATCGAACTCTAAAAACAAAAATGTGGAAATACTTTACCGAAATGAATACACGAAAGTACATTGATGTGATTGATAAATTGATATCCAGTTATAACCATACATGGCATCGTAGTATTAAGACAGAACCTGTATCCGTTACATTACAAAATCAAGAAAAAATTTGGAAAACGCTGTATGGTCAGCAACCAGTACAAAACCCTATTTCTTCAGATTTAAAGATTGGAGATACGGTACGCATCAGCCGAGAAAAAATGCTCTTTGAGAAAGGATACGAACAAAACTGGACACGAGAAATTTTTACAATCTATAAAATTATTCGACGTATTCCTGTTGTCTATAAACTGAAAGATCTAGCAGGAGAAGTTATACAAGGAACTTTTTACAAACAAGAACTTCAAAAGGTTTCGGACTCTGGTTATTATACGGTAGAAAAATTTAAAAAAAAAGAGGAAACGTCGCGGGAAAATAGAATATTTTGTGAAATTTCAGGGGTACCCCGAAAGCTTCAATGATTGGGTGGATTATGTGAGAAGGGTATAAAAGCCCCGTACATTCTGCTTATCTGTCATTTGAACGAAACATGTCTTTCTTTATCACACTGATCAGCGACAGCTCCATGCGTTTTTTTCCAGACAACAAAATATCACAATTTACCACTCAGCTTCCTACTCCGATGGATTTAAATAGTCAGTGGGAGTTATCTCTTGTGGACTTTATTTACCCTCACACATGGTATAACGTCCGAAAAGACAATAATTTATTTGGATTTGATTTGGGTGATGGAAAATTGGAAGGTCGAAGAGTGCCTCCAGGATGTTATGAAACGATACCAGATTTATTAAAAGCCATGAAAATACCTTCCCATAAAAATAAGATTGAATTCAGTTATCATCCTGTTCACGAAAAAAGTGACCATTAAGACCGACGAAAACTGCAAAGTCATTCTTCACGAAGGATTAGCTGAGCTTCTAGGGTTCGAGCCGGGTGTTTACAAAGGATTGGAACAAAGTCCTTTTGTAGCCGATCCCAAAGTATCTTTTCCTGTCATGTATGTGTATTGCGATCTCGTAGAGCCTCAAATTGTGGGAGATGTACAAGCCCCGTTGTTAAAAATTGTCACCGTAGAAGGAAATGACGGAGACATCATAAACGCTCATTACCCCCCCGGCCCTTTTACTTGCCAGTTATCCGTCAAGCATTTTCAGACTATACATATTGACATAAGACTTCACTCTGGAGATTTAGTACCATTCGAAAGAGGCAAAGTATTTCTTGTGTTGCATTTTCGTCTGAGACAAATTCTATAAAAGAAGCCTTCATCTGCAAATTGATTTCATTTGGATTGTGTATGCAAGATTAGAAGCATCAAACATGCGGGTGCCTTATACGTGTTGCACGAAAAAATTTGAAGATTATTATTTAGCTCAAACTGGAAATGGATTACCTTACTATCAAGGAACCATTTTACAGAAAGGTTAGGGTATTGGTGGATTTTTTTGCAGAGCTGTTTCGCAGTGCTATGCCTTTTTTGATGAGTGGAGCCAAAACAGTTGGAAAAGAAGCTTTGCGGACTGGAACACAAATTGCAAACGACGTATTGTCGGGAGAAAATTTTAAAGTCTCCCTCAAAACCAGATCTAAAGAAGCTGGCAAAAAATTAGCGAGGAAAGCAGTTCAGAAAGCAGACGAGATGATTGGTCACGGAAGGTTTAAAAGGAAGCGCAAAACCCCCAAACACTTCATTTCGTCTAAAGCCAGGAAGGTGCAACGACGTGATATTTTTGACTCGTAATGGCTTTTCTGTTAAAAGATTCTCCGGAATGCGCAAAATCCGAATTGGATTTATTTTCGTTACCTCCCACACAAACAGTTATCGAAAAAGGTCAGTGGGTTGAATTTCATCCATTAGCCAATGTATCGGAAGGAAGTCCTGTCGAGTTCAATGTTTCTGGAAGCGGAGACGACTACCTAGACTTATCACAGACACAACTCTACGTCAAAGTGAAAATTTTAAAAAATGATGGCAAGCCAATCACGGCTGAAAGTAAAGTGGGACCTGTCAATCTCTTTTTACATTCTATGTTTTCTCAAGTGGATATTAGCTTAAATGAAAGACTCGTTTCCACCAGTAATAACACGTATCCTTACAGAGCCATGATAGAAAAATTATTGAATCATGGTTTTGATACGAAAACGTCTCAACTGTCATCAGAATTGTTTTTCAAAGATACAGCAGGACGTATGAACGTTTTTGATATTCAAGACACTCAGCCGAATGAAGGATTCAACCAACGAGCAGAATTGTTTAAACTGAGTGCTTCGGTCGATATGATTGGCCGATTGCACTTGGATATGTTTCATCAGGAAAGACTTTTGCTGAATATGGTGGATATGAAAATTAAACTCATACGCAGCAAACCTGAATTTTGTTTATTGGGCAAAGGTGAATTTAAAGTTTTACTAGAACAAGCTTCTTTGTTTGTAAGAAAAGTGAGAGTCAGTCCAGGTGTTGTGCTAGGACATGCCAAAAGCCTAGAAAAATCGACAGCCAAATATGTCATTAATAGAGTGCTCTGCAAAGCCTATTCCATTCCAATGGGAAATATGAGTTTTATTCAAGACAATATTTTCATAGGTCAAATGCCTAATCGTATTGTGGTGGCATGTGTCGATAATGATGCCTTTAACGGAAACTATAAAAAGTCTCCTTTTGAATTCAAGCATTATAATATGAACTTTATCGGCGTTTATGTGGACGGGTCAACCGGTACCTCATAATCCTCTTCAGCCTAATTTTGACAAAAATCATTTCATACGAGCTTATCAGAATTTATTTATGAATGCAGACGACAGAGGACTTTACCTTTCAAGATCAGAATTTTCAAAAGGATATTCCTTATTTCGCTTCGACCTGTCACCTGACCTTTGTGATGGCTCTCATTTAAATCTAGTTCGACACAGCAACTTAAGATTAGAAATAAAATTTGGGACTCCCTTACAACAAACTGTTTCGTTATTAGTGTACGCTGAATTTGAAAATTTGATAGAAATCAATAAAGCTCGAAATATTCTGTACGACTTTGGAAACTGATGAATTCATCACAGATTCATCAAATCTTATCTCGAGATCCTATTTCTTTGAGATATTATGCGGGTGTTTTTCCTTGTGACAAAATACCTGCGATTCAAAGTTTTCCCTGTGCACTGGTGCTCAATACGGATAAACATGATGAAAAAGGAACTCATTGGCTAGCTGTCTACATTGCAGACAAACAGACTCTGGAATTTTTTTACTCTTATGGACTCCCGCCTGAAGTATATGGAAAAGATATCACATCCTTTGTCAAGAAATATCGTCATGTTTGCTGGAACAAGATTTCGCTTCAGAGTTTAACTTCTAATGTATGTGGACATTATTGTATTTATTTTATTATTAAACGCTGTCAAGGACTCTGTATGGAACTCATTGTATCACCCTTAGATGGGAAAGAATCATGATTTCCAAATATTTCAATTTGTCAAAAAAAGATATGGTGTAAACATGATTTTTAAAAAATAAAGTTGTTTTAATTTGAAAAATGTCTTGTATTTTAAAAAATAAATTTTAAAAAATTTCAAGTAAATTTGTTTCAATCAAATTTTGTTTCAAAATAAAACTTGTTTCAAAGATTGATTCAATGTTTCAAATACACTTATTTAAATCAAAATGCAAAATGTTCAAAAAATGTTTTCAAAAAACTGTTTGAATTTAAATATGATTCAAAAGGAATGTCTTCTTTGCCAATTTAAAAGGGATTTTCTGTAAAGTATAAAAGTCAGTGTTTTCTTAACATGCTGTCATTTCCAAAAATGGAACTGCCCAAGTTCGTACATCCTTCTACTTGTCTTCTGAGCGGACCTACCGGTTCGGGAAAAACGGTTTTTGTGAAGAAATTGATAGATCATAAAATGTTCCATCCCATGCCGACCAATATTATTTATTGCTACGGAAGTTATCAACCTCTTTTTAATTCCATGAAAAACGTAAATTTTGAAGAAGGATTACCATCTAATCTGCAGACTCTCCAAAATGCTTTAATTATCATAGACGATTTAATGTCTGAATTAGCAAGTGATACTCGCTTAAGCAAACTTTTTACAAAAGGAAGTCATCACCGAAACCTTTCAGTCGTTTTTATAACACAAAATCTTTTTCACCAAGGCAAGGAGATGAGAAATATTCATTTAAATTCCCATTACCTTGTCCTATACAAAAATCCTAGAGATAAAAGTCAAATTATGCATTTAGCTAGACAAATGTTCCCCGGAAAAGTAAAGGCCTTTCAAGAAATTTTTCAGGATGCTACTTCAACTCCATTTAGCTACTTGTTGATTGATTTACGACCTGAAACAAGTGAAACGCTTCGCCTTCGTACAGGCATCTTTCCTGGGGATAAATACTATGTCTACCAGCCCCGATAGTTCATTTCAGTTTGAGACGTCGAATGGCTAACATGTCTTCTCCCATCGTGATCGATTTCGAAGGTTTTCAGTGGATGCCTCATTGTTACATTGTTAAAGAATTAGCTTTTTACTCCGTGCATGAAGGATATCACAGTTGCTGGTCATTTTTACCTCCTCAGCCTTGGAAAACATTATCACGATCTCAGCAAAAGTGTTTTGCTTGGGTCACAAGAAATCGTCATCACATGAATTGGAGTGAGGGTGTATTACCTTATACTCATCTTCGTATTATTTTGCAATATTTGTCATCTATTTATTCTGTCATATACGTGAAAGGATTAGAAAAGAAATTATTTTTAGAAAATTTATTATGTAGAGACATCATAAATCTAGACTGTCCTAAGATAGAGAATTTAAAAAAGAAAAGTTCTTTAACATGTTCGATTCATGCAAAAGGATTTAATTGCTGTGCTTTAACCAAAGCGGCTGCATTTGCTACCTATATAAAAGAAAGTGTGCAAGAAAAAGAGCTCATTTGTCATCAGCATGTCTCATCTGAAGGATGTGGATTATCTAAAACTATTAGGAAAAAGTCGAATAAAAGCAGCTGTACTGAAAAAGTGTCCGAATCATCTCATTCAAATCAGTTTGTGAAGTGTGTTTTAAATCTTCTAAAAGGAAACGTACCCATCACCAAACGCGTCAAAAATCGACTCGCCCCTTTTAAAAGAACTTTAAGAAAACTAGCGGACAAAAAAGTACCTCTTTTTAAGAAAAGACGTCTTTTGGTTCAAAAAGGTGACGGTTTCCTATCTTTCCTGATTCCTGCAGCAGTCAGTGTCTTATCCTCTCCCTTATCCATGGAACACAGTAAGAAATTTGCGCTGGTACCCCTGGATCGTATGCAGCAATTTGAAGATGAACATTTGAGTGATTTAGATACCCAAATTCAAAACATCTTAAAAAAGAAAATGGACGATGAAGAAAAGTCTAAATTGTACATCCAGGTTCTGCAAAAGTATGTTACATTTCCTCATGTGAACACTTCCGAAGAACAACCGCCTGAACAACGTTCTGAGAAAGATATAGAAAAAGAAATTATGCAAACAGTTCCTGTGAAGCAGAAAAGAACGGCACAGAAAATAATAGATTTTCTAAAAGAGCATCAGATTTCCTGGACACAGAATAAAGAACTCATTCTGGATGATCATGTGTTTTCTGGCTCTGACATTGTTCAGTTGATAAACTTTCTGTTGAGAAATAGAACTCAAAAACCTTTTGCCTTTGAACAGTTTAAAAATGTACTGAATGTTAACAACTTTCCTCAAGACTTTGTGAAAAACAAACATTTAATGAATGTAAAAACTATGTATGCTAGACCTAAAAGAAAACGCATCTTCCAAACTATGGCTGAAATTGTAATGATACGTGAATAAAATGTAATTGGCTGATTCATTGGTGTTGTATTTCTTTCTAATTAAGTTAACATAATTTTTGAAAATAAAATATGACAATTATTTTCTAGGAAAAAACTTACCTTTCATGAAATCCTTTCAAATAAGAAAAACACATTTTATCATTCAAACTTCTGTTTATTTTTTTTTCTAAATAAGTTTTTTTTTATACACATACAAATGCATGATTCTGGCATATATATATATATATATATTTACATACAAAATTTCATTTTCAGATAAGGTTCTAACATAAACATAAAAAGTTCTTCAATATACTAATGACCATACGGCAATGTGCTCAAGTCTTTTTGAATTACCCGTTTGTCCAACACAATTCTGTACATTTTTGTCTCGGGTTTATTCATCACCTTTCTTCTCTTCGCTTCTCGGGTGATTTTGGAGGGGTTGTGGAGAGAGATGATCTCACTTCGGTCGAGGCTGCAGACCAGACTTTTAATGGCTTCAAAATTCAGCAACTGGGAATTCCGGAAAGTTCAATGAAAATCCTCGGACTTTGCAGCAGGTTTTCCCAGTGGCCGTCTGGTATGCATAGTTTTTCGGTCCTCCTGAAAAAATAAAACATCATGAGAAAAAAGAGATAATATAAAAAAAATGCATTAAACATTTTTGGTACACATTAAATAAAGAACTTTTTAAAGGTCCTTACCAGAGACGAAGGTTTTAATGACATCTCCATCCAGTTCATCCGTGAACTCTCCAAGAAAATTTCCTAACGGGGGATCATTTCTTCCATTTGAGGCATATATTATGGAGTCTGTGTCGTGGTACAGGACATCTCGACCCAGCTTCTCCATTTCACTATACAGCTTGAGACGAGCCCAAGCTGTCGTAAAAGTTGCTAGGAAAATGTTGGTCGAGGCATCCTGCGGCACAAACTCTTTCGCAGACTCCCAGGAAATGGCAGCCACCTCAGGCGTGGGAAGAAAGACATCTTTGATCTGAAAATAGAAGAGTCATGAGTTAACAGCTCAAAATACATTGAGTTTACAGATTAATAAAATCGGTAAGGAAACTTACTGTTTTAGTAGGATCCGCCAACATCTTATTAAATTCTGGCACCGTATGCACATAGGTAAGCTGTCCTTTGTTGACGTTCATACCCCATCTGAAAAAAAAATCCAACATAAATCACAAAGAATTAAAAATGTTTACAAAAAATTTAAGTCCAAAAGAAATCATCTTACCTGCCCCAGAAACTGTTTCAGGGCCAACTTGGCAACTTGTCGACGCCCAGGGTTCTTGGAAATCTTTCCAGCGTCCAACTTGACTCCCTCTCTTTCTTCATACTGGCGAATATACTTTAATTTGGTCTTCAGGCGTCACACACTCCGAAGGCCATCCGCTACTTTCCTGTTTGATCTTCAGAAAGAGATCAATGTAGGAACGAAACAGGGAAGTAGACGATTCTTTGAAATGATAGTACACTTCGTAAATCTAGAAAATAAAGAATAAATTTCAGTTATGACAAAAGATTTTAAATAAATTTGGGTTATGACAAATAATTTAAAATAATCTTTGAGTACTTACATGTGTGACGCGGTAACCTTTCTTTATCGCCAGCTTGACTTCTTCCGATACCCACGTTCCGACAAGAGCTCTTTCATCGTCTGTGTGGGTACAGGAAGACTGAGACTGTAGAAAGGCGCAAGTCCGACACAGGGGGAACATGAGCTTCTTCCTACACCGATAGGGCAGTACCGGAAGATAGAGGTTCCGTGGAGGAATCACACGGCATTGGATAAGTCCAAAGTAATTTTCTATATCCCCAAAGCTTTCCGTGATGATTGTTGGATGTCCCACAGGGTAGACGCAATATTTGTTCACCTGTGAAATAAAACAAAAAGTCAAAAAAAAACATACATAAAAATCAGAAAAAACACATCATCCATGAAAAGGTTTTAAAATATAAAAAAAAGTACGAACCCATGGATAGAGGGATGTGAAATCCACATATTTAGCGTCTCCCTCGTGGAACAATTTGAGGGCATTGGTCCGTCCTCCGAAAAATGACTCTCGAGGATTAAGCCGGTCCCTCAGATGGTGTTGCTCCAGGAAAGCTTGGAGATCTGGATTTTCCTCTTTTTCTCTCTGAAACTCATGCTCCCACATTTCTATGACGTGGAAACCCTGGGTGCGAAGCTTTCGTGTGGTCTCTTCCGTTTTCTCTCGCAACGTTGTCATGGAAACCCCTTTTAGTGGATGAATGACATCACCGTCATAACAGGAACTACACCCGTGGAAGAAACAGCCCTAAAATAATACAAATATATTAATAGTGTTCCACATGTAAATTAAACATTAAAAGTGTAAAATCATTAAAAAGAATCACATAGAAAAAGAAATGGTTATATTTTCTTACCTGAAACTGATAGACGGTTTGTGTTGCTTGGCAGAAACCGTCTACCGAGATTCCGGCGATTCTGTGCTCTCCGGAACCGTTCAACGCATGTTGAATGGCAATGCCTTCCGAAGCAGCAACAAAGTCCAACCACCGGATCGAATCAGGGCTGTAATTCGTTGAGTTGACGTAGCCGTGTGTGGGCACCATGGCAATCGTGTTGGGCTGAATGTGGCCACTCCGATACGTTGCCATACAGGCTGACGCAATGGTCACGTATCTGAAAAGAAAATTAAGAACGATGGTATGAGACACTAAACATACATAATGTAAACATGATTAGAAAGAATGAGAAATAACTTACTGGAATGGATCCACATTCGCCACATCCAAAAACTGGGCTCGAAACTCCAGCAGACAACAGCGGCGAAGAATATCCACGTCCGATCTATGAATATAAAAAGAAAATGTTAAATATACGAAAACAAAAAATATAAAATTAAAGCAAAAAAAAAAAGGAAAAATATACCTGCAATAGGCCAGCATCTCATCTTGAAAGTTAAACACATCCCCCTTGTGTGCTTCATGCCAGGACAGAAATGCTTGTCGGGCTGAAGTGCTCATGGTATCCGGGCTGTAATAGTGGGGGGGCTCAGGCAGCGGTCCGACATAACTCTGGTTTTCCCTCGAGTTGAAAGAGATGAGGGAAGTATCCTTTCTTTAACTCGCTGAGACCGAAGCATCCCGGTAGTTTGGCCAACGCCATCGGTAAAAAGTTTAACGAGTCTATGACCCGAATGTGACTGGGGTGTCTTACACTCATGATCATAGACCCGTTAGGGATCACCTCCGGCGCTGTGCCTTGTTCTAGGAGCCAGGCCATCACGAACTGTCCGTCAAACCTGTAAGTAAAAAAAAAAAACATGAATAATATTGAAAAAATAGTCGTACTTAAAAAGCATGCAAACTATGGTATTTTTAACTTACCCTTTCATGTTATGAGCCACGGCGGTGAAGCCCTTGTGTTGTGGGGTAAACAGCCAGGCGCAGAAGTCTCGGCATGCCGCGTACCCGGAAACACTTTTCTGTGCCGTCGGCATACTGAGCCACCGCGAAATTTACGAGATGCTCCCCCGAAGACTGGTCCGTTTCAAAGTCAAAAAAGATGAACTTGTCCTCGGACTTCTTCGGAGCAACACGACGCAAATAACAGCGGTGCTCAGCAGCCACGACAAACTGGCCGCAAGACGGACATTTGGTGGTACCGCACTTATGCAGATCTTTAGGGCAATCCCGCCTCCGGATCACTTGGCAGCAGTCCCTGCACTGGTATACCTGTAACGACAATAATTTTTTTTAACATAACAATTTTGAGAAAATTATATGATAAATAACTTTGGTCATTAACATATATTTTCAAAACACTTACCCTATCGCAAAGTGAAAAGTCTTGGTTTCCAGTGAGGGCTTTGTGTGCTGCATAACAGGCATCGGATCGGCAGAGACGGTCACAGTCCGGGCATCGTTGGGGCTGGCCTGGAAAGCAATCAGTCCTTAGGCATATAGGGCACGCATTGGCACATCTATGGCTTTCCGGATGATCATACGGCTTTTCACATGCTGTGCAATAATGGTTGCTACCAAAAAACCCTTTCAGGGACTTAATGACATCATAATGTCCATCGTGAAGCCACAAATTGATCCGTTGTGCCCTCTCTCTTCCTTTGTACACCACCTAAGATACAGCAAAACAAAACAAAACAAAAAAAAAAATTCTCTTGAATTCCAAAAATCAAAGTAAAACCAGTTTTTAACATTTAATTGCATACATAAAGCGATCTAAAAATTCCTAATGCATTTAACATCGAAAGTAATTACATGCATATATGTTAAAGTAAAACAAGAAAAAATTCATCGTGAATTCATTTTTTTTATAGTTTAGTTTTAACATCTTAATGAATTGTGTGCATGCATAAAATGAATCTAAAAATAAAAAATTCTTCATGCATTTTTTTTTTTACAAGTCATATTTTTAACATCGAAGCGAAACGCATACATGCATGCATTTATACATAAAATTTAACGCAATCTAAAAAATTCGCCATGCATTCAGTTTTACAAGTTAAAGTTTTAACATTTAAATGATCAGAAATATATGCCTAAATGTTAACTTTTTGCAAATTATATTTTTTAACATAGAAACAAATTGCCTTTGTGCATACATGTAAATAAAATCTAAAAAGTTAAAGTATTCTAAAAATAAAAATTTTTAAAAGTGAAAGTTTTAACGAATTGCATACATAAAATAAGAAATTAATCTAACAATTTTAAGTAAACTAAAATCTAATTAATTTTTACAAGGTATATTTTTTTAACATCGAAGCGAACTGCATACATTCATGGATTCTATGCGTGAATACGCATAAAATATAATCTTAAAATTTAGAGTAATTCAAAAATTCACCATGCATTTTTATAAGACATATTTTTAGCGTCTAAAGAAATGCATGCATAAAATATAAATTTTATGTTAAATGTAAAATTAATCTAAAAATTTTTCAAGTTATGTTTTTAGCATCTAAATAAATTTCATACATAAAAATAATCTAAAAAATGTAACACAATCTAGAAAATTTACTATGTATTCAGTATTTCAAGTTATCTTTTTTTAACGTGGAAACGAATTGCTTACATGCATAAAATATAAAGTTAATCTAACAATTTAAAGTAATCTAAAAATAAAAATTTATTAATTTTGTCTATAATTTTTTTTAACTTCTAAACGAAAAACTTTTCTCTATGGAAACAACGAAATGATCATAAACTCTGCTAGTAATTTAATTTTTCAGTGCGTTGAAAACTGATATTTTTTTTAAGTATTTTTAAGAAGTATTTTTTAAAAATTATTCATGTACCCAAATAAATTTTTATCATATAGCCACAAATTATAAAAGAACTAAAATCAAGTTACGATATGAAAACATATAGAAAAAATATTTGTAGGTATGAACATTTAAAAAACAGAAATATCTTGAGATAAAAAAATAATGACTTACTCGGTTCAAAGTTTTCCGAAGAAAAGACGGCAATTCTGGACGTCAGGTGTCTTCAAAATATGGCTATCTCCGTAAACGTGCAGGGGCCTAGAGGAACATTCGCAGCCATATGAAGTTCCTTTTGCACGTTTCACGAGGGCTGGTCGGCGACGATCTTTCATGGCATTGATGGCGGTCGTATCCTTATGTAAATTGGCCAACGCATAAACAATTGCTTTGGCACAACACAGTCCTTCGTCGTCATAGGGAATGGACAAAATTGAGATTTCTTATCAGTCTGTCCATGGAGATGTTGACACTTTCCTATTACCACCGGCGCCCACAGGTCGTCTGATGGTGATCACATCAACTGCAAATCCGTATCCAGTTCAATTTTATCCTTGGACCGCAGCACTTTCATAACGGCAGCCAGAATCTTTTCGACTGTTAAGGTCGAAACTGCCATTAAGGAAGTGCTGATAGGCTTGTCCAACCCTTCTGCTTGGATGCAGAATCGGATGAGGTCTGATGGGCCCAGATTTGCTGTTGTCCGGCGAATAAGTTGCTCAAACAACTCCCGGACGGTGTCAGGAATTCGGACCATCGGGATGCCTTGCAAGTTCTGAGGCAGCCGTTCCATATCTATACTGGCCCGGAAGGTAATCTCCTCGGCCTGATATTTATGGTTTCGTCGACGAGACTTCTCCGTGAGTACAATCGCCTCATCAATCTGGAAAAAAAAAAAATAAGTTTCAGTAATAATCAAACATTTTCAAATACATTATTTAATAAATCATGCAAGAAAAGAAAAATATATACCGATCGTTCATTCGAAGCAGCAATGAAGACAGGCCCATGAGCTGATGAGGAAGAAGTCTAAAAAAAAAAATAAATAAAAATAAATACATTCATTTTCTAGTTCTATAAAAATATTCTAACAGAATCATAACGAAACGAAAATTTACCTCAAATCCGGAACCCACATGATAGTACAGGGGCAAAATCAGGGGATTTTCCATGAAAATTTGATCCACTTCATCTAATAACTATCAAAATAAAAGTGGATTCATTCAAAATAAAATAAGCTCAAATGGTAAAATACATTCAGAAAAAAAGAAAAAAAAAAAAGTACGCTACGAAAATACGTGTAAAACTTACATCGTCATCAGAATCACGGAAAGGAACAATCGTGATCCTCAAATAACACCTAACAATTAAAAAAATACAAGTAAATAACACATTAAAAAAATTACGTGTTTAAAAATAGTAATCTTAAAAATAAAGTATAAAGCGAAAATATACTTACATTAGATGCAGTTGAAAAAATGCAGTTCGCTTGGCAGACATCGTGTAGAAAAAATGAAAATGGCGCAAAAGAAAATCACAAAAAGGCAAGATAACGTTCACTCAGCAACAACCACAGTAGAAATGATTGCATTCGTCAACGCGAGCGAATATATAGGCGATGTATAAGAAACAAACACGCTGATTGGCTGAAATAAGATAGAAAATATTAGTGAGAATCTGATTGGTTGTTAAGATTGTATACTTTCGCCACGGCGGATGTAGAAAGCGTGAAGCGGTTTCGACAGGCTGCAACGTGAAAGAGATGATGTTTGCCTGTTTCCCCCAGCCTCCTGACGTCATGGTTGTTTTTCTACTCAACGCGATAATGTGACCTAGTTTGTAAGGTCTCGCTGGCATGCTGGTTAGGGAAATCGCCTTCCAAACTAAAGTTTGCAGGTTCGAATCCCGCTCGTGGAGCTATTTTTAAAATTCAATAAAATTTAATTAAAGGTAATAATTAAAATATAACGTAGTAAATAATTAAAATACTTTTTAAAAAGAGTAAATAATTAAAATTAATGACTACTAAATAGTTAAAAATAATTAATCACATGTCAATAATTAAAAATAATAAATTAAAAGTGATGTCATTCCAAAACACGTAGTTCAAGATACTGTTGCCATAAAACCTAAAAATATATGTTCGTTGCCACAAAAAATAAAAACTTTGAGACATAAAATCGTTGCCACAGAATCAAAACGAAACTTTGATGATGTCATTCCTTCCATCTACGTCATTTCCGGTTGTCACGTGATTCAAGATGGCGGCGACCACGCCCCTTTTCTGTGACGTCACTTCCGCCTACCGAGTACCTGCGCTTACTACTCCTAGTGGATATTTAATTTGGATTAGTTTATTTATATTGTCACAAAACACACAACGGCTAGCTTCCTCAGAAAAGAGGCCTTCTTGGAGCACATTAGGAAATTGGCGCATTATTTTCGTTGTATTAGGATAAATAACATAAAATCTTCTGCAGTCAATTCCTACGCTATAATTTATAGCTGGATTGAGTTACCGTTGTTGAGCTTCATCATATAGTTAATGATGGGCTTCAGTTTGAGTATAAAGTTGCCCAGAATTAAAATTAATAAATTCAACTAATGTTGAAATATGAACACTAGAAAAGTAAAAATGCACAATTTATGACATTATCACATTTTATATTTTTGACATACTTATTTTATAAAAAATAGTATTTTATGAGGAGAGTTTTTGTATAAACAGAGAAAAAATCTCGGGGTCTTTCGGTAAGCCATGCATAAAGAATAATTATTGAGAAAACATTCAATTCAATATCTTTTGCGCCTGTTTGAGTTTATTCTAATGTTGAAAAAATGCACCTAATTTACTATCCTGCTTCGCGAAATGCTGAGGATAAGTTATTGTCTATATTAAATTCTTTTAATAAGTTTTAAGCAAAATTAAAATGAAATTTGGTTAATATTACATTTTATTAATCGATACATATCATTAATTTTCCCGGGTTTTTGAAAGTTTTAGCAATTACCCAAAATGACAATTACTGTCAACTATTTAAATATATCTCTTATTATCTCTTATTATAAAGTCTGAAAATAAATATTATCATTTTTATTTGGAACTTTCTAAGACGTTAGAACAAATTGTGAAAATTTACTTCGCTAATGAAGTGAATTATCGTTTTAAATTTCAGCTCAATTAAATGGCAATAAATCGCTTTTCTAAAATTACAGAAACTGCAGCGTATTCCCAAGATGGACTTCGAATAATTAAAGCCAACATTAAAGTTCGTTATCTGAATTACACTACTTAAAGTTAATTATAATTCTCAGAATCGATTTGTTGTTAGTCTGTTTGAACACACAAGGTGCTCTGCGATAACTTTCTTCTTAAGATAGGGCATACTTTGTAAAGAATTTCTTAATGGAAACTTAATAGTATTTAATGCAAAATACGACTTAATATTAATTTTATTCAACAGAAAAATAAAGCTAAATTATATGTTGATACCTTAAATTTAGCACATTTAAAAAATAAGTTATTTCTATCCAATATAAACAAAGGATAAATTGCATTTCATAAATTTTGAAGTAGCAATATTCTCAAACGATTGAAGTTGAAGAAACTGATAAAATAATGTAGGGCTCAAGGCTACAGCAATTTTGACATGAAGCATCTTATAAGAAACACACGAAAGTTAAACTTTAAAATGGAATTTCCTAGAAAAGGTTTTCAGTGAGTTCAAACTGTTAACAATTTAAATCGTCTTAAAGTGTTTTCCGTAAAATTACGGTTCGAATTTGACAAATGAATTCAACTAAATAAAGAAAATCAATAACAAAATGTTTAAAAAAATCAACAAAAATGAGCATAAATGTATGGATGACAGCCTTT